AAAGGGAAACAGAAACGAGGCACAAACACAGACCTCTCCTGAATGTTTGGTGAAAAAAGTCACGGAGAAGATTATCAGAGGTGAGGGTCGAACACCGGGAAAGGAAAAATTATAAAAAAAACCCAGAAAGGTTCAGGAAAAGGCAAATTTGTACATAAACCCCTGGATTTTTAAGACAAGGAACAAAACACGAAGAGAGGGGTGGGTAGTTTGCTTTTTCCAACTGCAGGAAGGCCTTTGACCATTTCCCCCAAGAGATTAGTGCAGAACGGAGGATCAGCGCATGTAAAGGGGAGGCACTGCAATGGATAAGGAATACCTCCCCGGGAGGCGCAACGTCAGGACTGAAAGGAAACACAGTGGGCGCCTGTTTATGAGCGGGTCCACGGGGTCAGTTCTAGGACCAGTTTTTTTTTTGATAATTTAACGACAAATGGGAAGGAAAGACTCGAATTCCCTGTTCCGATGACGTAAAAATTATGAGAAAAATTTAAAGGGACAGATGGGGCGGACTGCAAAAGACCTGGACACGGACATGGGCCCCATAACGGGCTTCTCGAATTCAACCACCAAAATGCAAAGTCATAAAGTTTGGGGGAGGGAAAAGACGACCGAGACAGAGTATAGCATTGGACAAAACACAACCCCCAGGGAAAAGACCTTTGGGGGTGACCAAACACCGAGCACTCACCGGGGGCACCATCAACCAAAAACCGCTGCAGCATACGGGCCCTAAAAACCCCAGAATAGCTTTCCAAAACCCCTTAAAAAGGAATCGTTCAAGACGCGTACACTGTGTATGTTGGCCCATACGGAAAGCGCACCAGTCTGGAACCCACACCGGGTCAAGCATGTCAGGAAAGAGAAAAACAAAGGTTTGCAACAAGGCTACCCCCAAGCTCAAGGGAATGTCTACAAAAAGGGTTGGGGAAATGGCCCGACGAAAACTGGGGGACAAAAGGGGTGGGGGGAAAACATGATAACGCATACAAAAACTGGGGGGAATAACGGGGTGGACAGAGTGGGAGTTCCGGGAAGGAACACAGGACAAGGGGTCACAACGGAAGCTGAAACCAGAGGTCACAACTTAAAAATATTTCTTTCAGTCATAGAGTTGTCACAAGGGGAATAGCCAGAAAGTGAAGTAGTGGAAAGGCAGGAACCCAACATAGTTTAAAAAAGGTAGACAAAGCTCAGAACGAGAGAGAGGGGACCCAGAGCATCAGTGAAGAGGCGGGGCCAGGACTAGTCCGCCCCCTGCAACCACAATAAGTGAACAATTAGGTGAGTACACCACACACACACCACACATACACACCCCAACCACACACACACAACACAACCACCACACCCCAACACCACAACACTATACATCCCAAACAAACACACCCACCACACACCACCCAAAACCACACAACACACACACACACACACCCCCAACACACACCCACACACAACACAAAACCACACACAAAACACACACACACACCCACAACACACACACACACACCCCAACCACCCAAAACACACAAAACCACAACACAAAACCACACACACCCCAAACACACACACACACAACACACACCCCAAAACCCCCCAACACACCCACACCACACACAACACCACCCCCCAACACAACACACAAAAAAGATCTTCAACACATCTTTAAACGGGAAAACCCCCGGGTAGGAAAAGGCAAATGTATCCCAATTTTAAAAAGGAGACAGACATGAGGACTAAACACAGACCTGTATCACAACGTGTACAGTAGCAAGGGCATGGGGAAGATCATCAGGAGGAGAGGGTGGGGCCCCCTGGGAAAAAAAACAATTTTAATTGACAACCAGCACGGTTTCAGGGAAGAAACCTGTGTCCAAACCTACAAAAGTTTAAAGACAAGGGGACAGAAGTAAGACAAAAAGAGGGGGGATCGACTGCGTATTTTGGGCTGCAAGAAGGGCCCTTTGACACGTTCCCCACAAAGGGTTCGCAAAACTAGAGGACAGGCACACAAAACAGGAAAGGCACTGCAAAGGGTCGAGAATATCACAGGGAGGCAACAAAGGCATGGTACCGACGGGGTTCAAGGGCGCCTTGACAAGCGGGGTTCCACAGGTCGTCCAGGGCCTTGCGTTCTTTGGGATACGTGAACGACTAACAAGGGATAGACCAGAAGTGTCCTGTTTTTAGAGAGTGAAGTTAGAAAAACAAACGAGAGATCAGGCAGGACACAAAAGACCTGGGCAGCTCAACCTGGCCAGCAACTGGCCCTTAATTTTAAACCCGCCAAAGCAAAAATCATGAAATGGGGGAAAGGGGAAAAAACCGCAGACACAATAATTTAATGGCCAAAGACGCAAACCTCACTCAAGGAAAAAAGACTGGGGTGAGATAACACCGACTACTCCAGGCGCCCCTCAACAATAACTGGCAGCATACGGGCGCCTGGGAAACCTACGGATACGTTCCGATACCTCAGTAAGGAAATTTGTAAAGACTCTGTATACCCTCTACGTCAGGCCCCTAATGGGGTTTGGCCCGCACCAATTTTTGGGAAACCACACCTATCAAGCACGCCCCCAAAATTTTAAAAAGTGCAAGGTTTGCAAAAAGACTAGTCCCAGAGCAAAGGGGGTTTTTCCTATAAAAAAAGGTTGAGGGAAAAACGGCCTGAAAGACACCCCCCGGGGGGACAGGAGGGGCAGGGGGACATTAACACATATAAAAACTGCGCGGGAAAAAAACGAGGGGACAAAGACGGGTGTTTTTAAGATGGGAAAACAGACACAAGAGTCAAAAATTGGAAAATTTAAGACCAATGAATCAAAGGGGTGTTAGGGGGGTATTTTTTTCCCATCATAGAATATCAGGCCTTTGGAAAAAGCCAAAAGGGGAAAGTGGGGAGGGAGGAACCATACATAAATTTTTTAAGGCAGGTATTATAAAAGCCATGGGGGAGGGAAGAAAGGGCCCCAGTAAAACCAAACAGCGAAAGGCGGGGCCAGGAGCAAAAGTCCCAACCCCCGCAACCCCCAAATAAGGGGAGTACAAAACCACACACACAAAACAACAAACCCCCCCACACCCACACCTGATATTCCCCCCCCCCCTTGTTAAAACAAAAATTTAACTTAAAAAGGAAGCCCAACCCCGGAACCTGGGTAAAAATTTTAGGCCCCCCCTGTCCCTTTAAAAACAAATTTAATAAAAATTCCCAACCTAACCCCCATAATTTCTAGATAAGATTTTTCTTTTAACCCCTACCCACCTGGGCCTAACTCTGGGCACAGGTAGGTTTCTGGGTCCCCCCCCCCACCAAAGAACCCTTTCTCCCCATTGCGCCTCTCCTCTGCCTCCAGTATACAAGCCTCTACATTCCCTGGGTTTTACTTCAAATTTAAACAAGGGGTGAGGGGCTGATCACCTACCCTTTGTTTACCGCCCCCCCCGCAATTTTATTCTCTTATGGGATTAAAATCATTTTCCGACTGGAGAAACTCTCCAGTGACATGATGTGCAACCGTTTTGGGGATCTTTAAAATTTTGAAAACGTTTCCCACACAGTAGGCCTTTAGTCAAATACAAGATAGCAGGTGTAAAAGAAATAAAAATGATCAATCATCCCCAACCCTTTGGGGAAAGAGCATTTTTAGGTTGGGCCCGTCCCTCAGCCTTGGGGAAAAATTTCAGCTCCATAAACGCAACGAAATATCGTCGTACATTTCCCTTAATTTTTCAACTTTCATAATTTTAAAACAATTTTTAACACCAACAAAATTTCCCAGGGTAACTCACACACAAACAAGTTATAATAATAATAATAATAATAATAATAATAATAATAATAATAATCTTTACTTCTACAAGTACATGGTACAACTTATACAGACCATAGCTGACACCAATGACACTAGTACAAAGAAAGTCCCTTGATATGCAGAGCATTTCGGGCAAATTAGGTTAATTTTGTCCCCAGGATGCAACCCACACATCCAGGAGGACGACGAGGAGGGGCGGCGGCAGCGGCGGCAGCAGCAGCAGCAGCAGCACCGGCAGCAGCAGCAGCACCACCACCACCACCAGCAGCAGCAG